TTCGAGATCCTTCATTTATTATTCACAATCTAATATTATTCGGACACTACTTGAGCCATATGTCTTCTAGACAAACAGTTAGCTCTTCAGGAGTTTTTGATATATTTTGTACTATCAAATATTGCTTAGACACTTCTGGTATCATGAGAGAAAATCATAATCACCTCCACCAATATAAAGGCAATTCTAAATTTATAAATATCATAAATTAAGAATTTCAGTATTTTTACCAACTTTGTGACAAATATCTCCTTCAGGGAGAAACGCCATTAACATCTGAATATTTTATATCAAAGCGACAACCACATAGTCATTATATCCTTCAGGGAAATATACATGAGTTGTTATTTTCTTCGGGGTAGTTAATAATAACTAACCATAATATATCAATATGGTTGTAGTAAAAAGTATTCTACAAGAATGCTTTTGCCTTAGAATAATACTTTTCAAAGATGTTTGACATACAACAGGTACGTGCGGTAATGATATTTATGCCCAAAAAAAATATTTATATCCTATATTATTCTACCTCTTCAGGAGGTGAGTTATGGTATTCCTTCGTTCACTCAAGGGAATAAAAATGTGCTTCAAAAATAACTTTGAATAACTCATTATTTTGTTTAAGAATAGAAAGATACTGCTTCAAAATATTTTCCTACTTCAGGAGGAAATTTCAATTGTATTACTTCTTCGGGAGAAAATTTAAAATATAAAATATTGAGTATATATTCTCTCAATTATATTAACTCTTCTGGAGATGAATTGTAATATATTTACAACAAGAGCACATTCATATTTACGATTTTATTAAAATTATTACATTCACTTCGAGGAATGGATTAATATTTATAAAAAAATCTCATCCTTCAGGAAATCGAACATAACTATCTGAACGCGCATTAATCACATCAAATTGTGATGCTTCAACATCTTTTAAAATATTTACTACTTCAGGAGCAAATCGAAGCGTGCATGTAATATTGAGAATATTTCTCTAGCTTATCTTCAATTGTAACCATAGAAAGCCTAAATTATCACTTCTGGTGGTCATAGGCATATACCATTTCTGGTGGTTAATAAAATCTAGTTACAATGAGATATACGAAACATAACCACTTCTGGTGATTGTATATTTCTTGCAAACTCTGCTGGAGTTTAAGTGGATCTAACAATATTATCCACTTTGTAATCATTTATTAAGATAATTAGGATGAAAACAAATACCAAAATAGGTATTGCATACGTAACATATAATTAAGCAAGCGATGATAAAGATATAAACCAAATATAAGCTAAAGGCTCAAATTACTTTACACAAATTTGGCCACTCCAAGCGTAAGTGATATTCACATTACTACTGCCAAGAAGAAAAGCTCACCACCTCAAGGATATAATCTGCCTTATGATGCTTGGAATGAACAAGATCTAACCACGAACGTAATAACGTCGCCTTACATTGGAGATGAACACTGAAATAGAAATTAAATTCGAAGTAAGTGCTCAAAATGGCAGTCTCATGCTGATAACGTATTATAAATTAAAATCTGTAAATTAAATAAAATGAAGACAAGTATAGAGAGATTGATATATTATTCAACTTCAATATCTTGTACATAATGAACTGAAAACTCCTCTAGTTATAGAAGAAAGGAAGCAGCTGCGAGACTTTTCAGGAAGCAGTTGCGAGGCTTTTCTTGAGCTGCTTGTAAGATGTCTGCATGAGCTGCTTGCAACCTACCTGTTTAATAAGAAGCTGATGCAAATCATTTCATTAAGTTGCTTGCAACCTTCCTGCATCAGCTATTTGTAGATAAATTTCAATAGAGTACCAAAAGGATAGTCTTCTTCAGGAAGATTATCTATAGTGGAGTAATAAATGGACATTCAAATTATAAATATTTTCATAACAATTGATGCATTTGTGACTTTGTAGTGTTTTATCAATTGAATCTTTTTAGACTTTTAGTATATATTTGTTGAAGAATTTTATAATCCATATAGGATAAACCTCTTTTATTTTTGTTAGATAAGTCATTCTCAATATAGAATTATAAATAAAAAGTTTTTTTTTTTTTAAAAAGAGTTAATATGTAACTAATAAGGAAGCATAAAGCTTCATGTTACTAGTAAGGAAGTATAAAGCGAATTCAGCAAATACAAGTATACAACGGATGGGACTCCTAAATGCAATTATAAATTGCTTTCACCAATTGATTTATAAGTCTCATGGAATAATTGCGACTTATAAATCACGTCACTTTCGACAATTGCGACTTATAGATCGCATTATAAATTGCATTCAGTAAATGCTTATATTTATTGCGATCAGACACTTTAAAACTCTGAATATCAAGGTTCAGTTTTTTCTACTAAGGTTATTAATTATTTTTATTCAGATACATAAACATGTGATTTAATGTTTTATTATTTATATTGAGTACATGTTCTTTTATAATTTTGAAGGTAAAAAATAATATATGGGACCTTTCGTATCGAGATTCTGGATCATGTTATTCCCATCAAAGGAGAATAAGATTGTGGTATTTTGGATTGGATTACGTTTAGCAAAACGACTACGCTTTACAAGTTGCATTTAGGAGAGGTCGTTACTAGTAATCCTATGTTTGAGGAACTTGTTTACAAGAACATACGATTCGAGATACAATTACTAGTACCTTATGTTTTCTTCTGTATTTTTGAGTTATTATTCTCACGTTTATACTCTTTTAGTCATGTCAATATGCATCAAATTATATTAAGTTAGGTGTTTGTAGAGAGTGGTTTTAGTCTATGCAGAGACTTGTAGTATGTGGAAACTCTAATTTGCATTAAAGACTTTAGTTTTATTATGCCACGCCTAAGATTCGAACTTGTGATTCAAAGAAATTTTTGAGCCCCCTTTATTAATACATTTTAAAGTTTCCCTTATGTCAAGGAGATTCTAAAACTTAAATGTATAAAAAAAAATTGTTTTTACTCTATTTGCACGGTAAAATTGTTTTGAAGGTAAGATTTTTAATTAGAGAGTTTACCTTACAATTTTGGACAGATAGCACCACATGTAATACTATTTGGGGTATAAATGAAACCGACAAATTACACCAACCCAATAATTCGAGTCAAACCGAGAAAACAAATTTGATTATGGTTTGGTTTGATGTTGGAAAAAAAATACGACCATATTTGGTTTGGTTTGGTTTTAACTAAAAAAAAGTCAAACCGAAACTAAACCAACCCGACATTATATGTATAGAAGTTTTAAATATATTTAATACATAAAAATATTTATGCTAGTGCAGTTTATAAATATTTCTTAAGCTTTTTCATAGTTTTATCTTTTAACGTATTATTTCAAGCTTGAGCTTATAATTTTTGGATACTCCAATAAGTTTTATAGTCCATAAATGTTAGTAACTCAAATAAATCCTAAACCAAAATCATATCAATACTAATGCTAATAATAAAAGACATTCAATTCAATTGTACTATGGATGAAAATAGTGTTGGATATCTATTTTTTTAGTTTTTCCATGGTTTAGATAAAATGTATAACTTATTTTTCTTTTAGTGGTTAGTCATGTAAATAATAGTACTTATTAGTCATAATTTTAAATTATGTTTGTTTTCATTATAAACATTAATAATATTTATTTTATGCGATTTTATTATCTTTATTGTTGAATATTTTAGTACAATGCCATGACTCATCTCATATTTATGTTATTTTATTGAAAAACACCTTATATAGTTCTGTCTTACTAGGATTAAAAAAAAAATATTTGGAGCACAAATTTTACGTTTTGTGCTATGAAGACTTTATGAAAAAAACCCCGGAAAAACCCGAAAACCCGAGAAAAACCTAGATTAAAAAACCTGACTTTTATTGGTTTGGTTTGGTATTTAGATTTAATAACCCGATACAATTGGTTTGGTTTGGTAATTAGAAAATCGGAACCAACCTAACTCATCTACACCCCTGCTGTGTATATAGCCATGTATGATTTAGATTTGTTTACCTATATGAAGAATTTTTAGCTTCTATTGAAAATGATAATAGTAAACATCACTTGATACCTTGAGAATTAGTAAACATCTTCCTTGAAGTGTAAAATTTGTCGCAGGAGATAGTAGGTATTCGGTGAAATAGTCGAGGTTCGCACAAGCTGGCTCGGACACCACCATCACCAAAAAAAGGATAAAGAAAGTTTCTTGGGCCGTGATTTTTTCACCATCTGCATTGATAAATTGGAGAAGTCGTTTAACCAGAGCTTAACTAGGATTAATTTTCTTCTTGTATGTACTTGTTTACTCCTTCCCCCTGTGTGTGTCTGTTAACATTGCATGAAAATATTAGGAACTTTTATTTGCATCATATTTCTGCAGATTACAAAGTCGTGAATTCAACTCATTCCACATCCAATCATCTTTGCCATTTTCTCCTGGTGTTTTCTTCCTACTTATTTTACCAGGTCTGGGATCTCGGCGGCGAAAAAAGGGTCAGGACATCATGGGAAAATTACTATCGCGGAACTCATGCCATCATTGTAGTCATTGACAGCAGTGACAGAGCCAGGATTTCCACTACGAAGGACGAGCTCTTTAGGCTGCTGCTGAGGATGTGCAGAATGCCGTTGCACTAGTATTTGCAAACAAACAAGACCTTAAAGATGCCATGACATCTGCAGAAATAACTGATGCACTTTTCACTTCATAGCATCAAGAACCATGGTTGGCATATTCAAGCCTGCTGTGCCCTCACCAGCTACGGTTTATATGATGGTTTAGGGTGGATTGCACAACGAGTTACTGGAAAAGCAACAAACTAGAGCTAGTCGGATAAAAAACATACAACAACAGCATACTCAGTATAATCCCACATAGTGGGGTCTGAGGAGGGTAGTGTGTACGCAGACCTTACCCCCTACCTTGTGGAGATAAGTCGGATAAAAAACATGCCTTTTGTATTTATCGAAGAGATATAAAACAAATAACAGTCATTCTTGATCAAAAGGTTAGCAACTCAGACAGGTATATAAATCATTTCTAACCACAAGCAAATACTTGTCAATAAGATGTTATAATAGAAAATTGTCATCTGCACAATGCTACCAGTAACCTATCAATAAAGATGAGAATCTTGATTTTCAACTCTTAAGGGAATAAAAGATGCCATTTTCTACACATTGAAACATTTCATTACACACTTGATAAGACATCTCTGTGTTAGGCAACACGCTGTGCGTACCAACTTCACCTTCGTCTCCAATCAATGAAAATCTCCAAAGTCAGCCAAAGAGTGATTACAATATCCAGCATCTGCAACCCGATGTATCTTGTGGTCCTTCAAACCATCGATCCCAGTAAGGATTTGTTGGACCATGTGTTCTGATGTAGAAAATATTTAATAAATTAGCAAAATATAAAACTCATGAGACGTGGCGATAAAGCACGAGTAGTTCTTACACAGGCAGTAATGGATCTGGACTCGTTTCCACATTACTTAGCATCCTAAAGTCCATGTAAGAGAATTAAGTTAGACAACCATAACGCGCACTGAACAAAAACAGATAATTAGTACTTACTCCTTGCAAGCAGTTGACGCCTTTTCCATTTTGTCAAGCAATTCAAGTTCTTCCTGCACATATTACATCATTGCCGAATAGTAAATAAACTTGTCGATAGACAACAACAAAAGAAGAGTCAATAGACGAGTAATAATCAACAAGTAATACAACATTTTTTCTGATGTTGACACAAGAAAAGCAACGGTGATCAACCATGTCTAGTTTTAAGCCCTCTCAAAGAACATTTGGACAATGCCACCAGAAATTACACGACATGCAAAAGATGACTTTGCAAATAACAAAAACCACCGTAGCTGTCAAACTATGGGCTAATTGTGCATCACACTGAACATATGGACAACAAAGTCACATTTGAAAACAAACTCAAAAAAGGCAGGCAGGCCTAGGGAAAGAAGGGAACATCAAAAAGAGCAAAAGGATGTTCCATTAATATACAGGTCCATATTCATAAAATTATGTTGGACTTTGTGCGAATAAATTGTCGCCAAGGTATCTATAAAATATATTTCAGGATTTTGACCCCACTATGTGGGATTATATTGGGTTTTTTGTTGTTGATTTAGACCATAAGAACTTTGCTCGAATATGGAAGAACAAAAAAGCTATAACGAGGACAGTCAAATTATAACTCCTGATTGCATCAGTAGCTCATAACTTTCCTTTCTTTTTTTTTTGAATAAATCAAGAGTATTATTAATGTTACACCATGTTGGTCTCAAATGGACATATATAATACAATACACGTTAAGCCTCCCAAAAGTCTTAGCCGCCTATCATCTAGACAGGCCTACATGTTGACATGTTGTCACCAAGTATTAACTCAATTAAGTCTGCCAATACTGAACAATGAATGGTTAAAAGTATTTTCTTATTATTTACCAACCACATCGGAGATGCGCAAGCACAGCCTGGTGGTTGCACGAATCTCATTCTGGATAGGGGCACACACATTGGTCAAAATAACAAAGTAGAGGGAGCAAAAGTTAAGCGTATCGAGTTCCACGTAGTACATTTCCAAATAATAGAAAGATACTTGTAATCCTATCGATACAGCTAGTTGCATATGTTGTAAGGTTACTGAATGATCGACTGTATACAATATGAATGGAGAAAAAATTGATTCTCCCATTAACAAAGAGGTTATATAAGATGTGATACCCAAAATATCACATGCATATGCAGAGAAATGGTAAATATTGTATATAAGAGCTTCTTAATTGATACATTTGATACTAATATGCATTTTCATGAAGAGGTTGTCACAGTTCATTTAGACAGAGACTTTCGGCTGCCATTATCTTGTGGCTTCACTTATAAAGATTTAAATGAACTTTTGCAACAAGGACGAAACATCCTTCTCTATCCAACAAATTCCTTTGCATGAAGGTTATTGTAAGAACTCCTTTACCAGGTACATAACCTAAAAGCTTACTCTTCGAAGTCCTTTGACGTAACTCTACCAAATAAAGTTCTTCATGCTCTGAGGATAAAAAGTTTCAAAATTTATGAGCAAGAGATGCTCTGTGTTTCTCTTGACCAGTTCTACTTCCCAAATTTGACATGTAAGATCACACAGATGAAAAGGTAACTTAAACAACAATGCACCAGGACTAGGTCATCACATAAAGGGAACACCTTTTGTACGGAACAAAAGCATCAGCACAAACTCACAGAACAATTTATCTTGAAATTATCCTGATAAAAACATGAATACAAAATTCTAGGTTGTGTAACACAAGCAGTAAATTGAAGATCCATCCCATTTAAGATTTCATAACCAAAGTATCTACAACCCTTTCCCAGTGTCAGTTTGTTCATTCACAAATCACGTTTTGAATATTTTCTACGACTTCTGGCTTTTGTTAAGAGGTTCACATTATATTTGTAAAGCAAATTTGGGACTCAGTCTACTGCCTCATTGAGCACAATAGAAGAAGACCCACATAGTCAAACCAATCAGTTGCGACTAAAGCTTAAACCTAGTTTTGAATTCTACTTATTAGGGATCAGAATTTGAATTATTCAAATCTCAATCCGCTTGGCAAATTTGTATTGTTTTTCTATTACAACCACTTCTTTGCTCTAGAAAGATTTAGTTCATTTAGATCTTTTACTAAGCCTCAATATCATCTAAGGCACTATCCACTCAAAGAATCCAACAGAGATGGCCTTTCACCGGAACTCTCTCCACTCCCACCATACAACTACCGCCAGCCAGCACCAACGCATCACTGCGTCAGTCTTTTCTCCATATTTTTTCTACTGCTACTACTGAGAATATGTTACTGTCAATATAATGTATTGGAAGGAAATCACCTCAATATATACTCTTTTTATTTTTGATAATGGTGGTACCCGTACCACATTGCACGCAACTAATTGTTCCACCAGGTACCAGCATCCCCTCACCAGTACATGTATTGGATAATCCGGCCCAATATACTTAGGTAGAAGGGAAGAAATTACCTGACTTTTTTGCCTCTCTGACTTAATTGCAGTAGATTGTATATTTCAATCTTTTTAACTAAATACCTTTTACTTGATAGTGGATGACTAATTTCACCCCCTGATATCACAAGTCAAGTTTCTTTTCATAGGATCCATGGATAATCATTTGACTGACGCAACAATTTGATAACGTCGGATCAACTCAAGTGCACATTAAATGCGAGTTATGAGTGACAACTAATCTAGTAGAATCAAGCTAATTCTAGAGTTGAAGAGGCCTTCTAAGTCAAAGTAGGTATCAAAGTGTGGGACTTTGTAACAGAACTGATGTTTTCTTGTCTATCTTATTTCTTTCTTAATAGGTTCTCTTTCAGTATAATTCTCAGTCTAATACCTGAAGTTATATGTGTCTTGCATGAGAGAAGGAAAGTGGATAATCTTTCCTCTCTTTTTTTCCTATTAAAGTAAACAACTTCTCTACCCCATGGTAGGGGTAAGGTCTGCGTACACACTACCCTCCCCAGACCCCACTCATGGGATTATACTGGGTTGTTGTTTCTATTAAAGTAATTTTTTTTCTCTGTTTAAAGGAAAAGTTAGTAAGCAAAAGAGAGAAGGGGTTATGTAGTACATTAGCCACAAAACAGTAAAAACATCTAAGTTCAGATTATTACTCCCTACGTCCTAATCTTTATGACACTCTCCATTTTGGAATGTCTGAGCATGTTTGACACCATTCCATTTCTATACAGTTTTCTCAATTTTCAAGAATTCAAATTCATCAAGCGATTCAAAGTTTAAAACTTTGATGTAATGTTTCTCTACTAAACTAGCTTTTCCACTGTTATTTTAATATATTCTCCACAAGCACTAATCTACATTCAAATTAACATCTTGAACGCAGTGTTCAGTCAAATACCGCCATATAAAAAGGATGGAAGTGAGTATAAAATTCTAGCCCCCTTTCACAGCTATAATGAAATGACAAAAGCAGAAGCGGAGCTAAGATTTGAAGATTATAGGTTCTGAATTAGTCACATAAACCATAGCTCGTTTTGGTTACTGGGTACAAATTTAATGAATTTCCTAATACAAATATAGTTTTTAAGCAAAAGCGACTGGGTTCGGCCGAACCCGGACCTAATGGGTTCGGTTCGACCTTCCGCCTCTGGATAAAAGGTCTGAAGCTAAGAACTGATGGAAAGAAGCCGAAGACAACAAACAAAAAATCTCATTTCATAGCCAAAGAAGATCCTTGTATTTGTCTACTTTCATATAAAACAACCACCACGAAAATTCGTCATCTTCAAAAAATCTTCACAGCAAGAAACCCCCGACCAACATAAACTCTTCAAAAAGTTCACATTTTTACGATCTATTCCCCATATTGACCAACAACATTCATGGACAGGAAAAGCCAAAACAACAGAAAAGCAACTTCTTTTATTAGCAGGCAGTGAAGGAACTCTAGTTCAATTACTCCGATTGGTTTGTGATCCAGTGATACTTTTCCTCCTCTTCTACGCATTTTAGATTTCCCTCTCTTCTCTGCCGTCTCTTTCTTTCTCCCACTCCAAAATCAATTAACTAGCGCTCCTCATTCTAAATAACAAGACACTCCCTCCACTGACTTTCTATGTTGAATGAATCAGTTCCTTAATGAGAGAAACAAAGTTCACTATGTTACTTTCTGACTTCAGATGTCTACAGAAAGGGGACATCTGTCCATGCCTCATTAGATATTACACCAGCACAATCTATTTTTTAATCAACCTTCAAAATCTATTCAGCAACACAAAAGTGAAGGCAGCTCAAACAGTACCACGAAGTATTTCTCTTGCAATGCGGCAGCTTTATAAGCAAACTCTGAACCAGCAGTCAGAAACTAAAACAGCCGAGTCATGGATTAAACCATCTCAGCATGAACGAAGAACTAAAGATTTTATGAGCCATTTTCACCAACAAGTTTCAAAAGCTCTAGCTAGAGCTCCATGCCAACTCCAAAATATACTCGAAACAATAAATACTCAACTCTCAAAAACATAAAGAATTCACTTCAAAATTCAACGATTTTTCTCCCTATATGTCCCATTTCTCCAACAAGTTTCAAATGCTCTAAATAGAACTCAATTTCAAGTCCAAAACATATTCAAACGGCTCATATTCAACTCTCAAAAACATTATCCACTTCAACACACAAAGATTTCCCCCTACTACATCTAGAATGCATCCGAAAGGGGACATAAACTTCAGGCCTTCCACAAATCAAGAACTTTACTACGATATGAGAAATGAAACAGCTCATGTCTCATGAACACAGCAAAAAAATTCTTTTCATAATTAAAGTAAAAAAAGCTCTACTGTTTGTTAGTTGATCGTCAACCCTTTTCACCCATATTATCGGGCACATAGAACAATAGATCCCTTTTCTCTTTAACACAATTCACTATTTTCACCTGTACATTATACCAATACAACAGAAGAATTCCCCCCTAGGAAAAAAAAAATTCAAACTTTATCCTCAAATAGAGCAATTAACAACAACCATATTCAGCTAACCAGAAAGAACAATCAAATTTTAAAACTTCTAAAGAACAAAAACAACAGTTAAGCCTCAGTTCCAAACAAGTTGGAGTAGGCTATTTGAATCATCACTAACCATGTTACTTCATATAAACTCATCTCAGGCCAATATTATACAAAATAAAAGTAAAAGTAAAATTAAAAGCAAAGCCAACAAAAAGTCAAAAGAGACATCAAACAAACCTCTAAGAAGCGAGTTTCTTGCTCAAGTCTCTTCAATTCAGCAGATATCCTATGTTTCCCTCTTGTATCAGTTGCTGCAACAACCGATCTCAACTGTTCTGAGCTCTCTGATTGCATTATTTTTTTCGCACACACACACACTTTTCTCAAAAGCTCCAAATTACCTAAAGAATCAGAATCATGTATACACAACTAACAAAACTGTTCAAACACTATAAGAAAAGAACCCCATTTATTAAAAAACAAAAAAAACAAGAAAAGACCAAATCCCTAAAAAAATCAAAATCGTGTAACAAACTAACAAAACTGTCCAAGAACTAAAAATAAAATAACCCCATTTGGATAAAAAATCAAGAAAGACCCAATATTTATTAACAAAAATAGAAACTTTGAGATTCTGTAACTGAAACTTAGAGATTCTTGGACTGTAAATAGACAGAAAAAAGGGTAGCAGACAATTGAAGAGACAATGCAGAAGGTAAAAAGAGAGTGCTTGAGGGGGGTAGTAGGGGGTGGGTG